GGGATGCTGCACATCGACAGAACTGGGGCAGAATGAATTTTCAAAGGTGTGTGCAGTGTTAGGACACGTGAGCGAGGGCCATGATACAGCGTATTGTTTTTTCTCTTTTGAGCTGCATTGGAAGCAGAAGTGATTTAAAAAGCAGTTTGTTTCTGTTGCTGGGATCAGTTTTGTCGACTGTTTGACTGGCATTTAAACAAAGTCTGACTTTCCAGGGTGGCCCTTAATACCTCACACAAAACCAACCATCAAGCTGCCAGAGCGTCACTTATTGCAGAACATTGCTGCACAACCTTCACTAATGAACAGCAGCAGCCGGATTCCTCCCAGCACTGAGGAAGGAAATATTTCTCTACATCTGATGTCTTTCACTTCTCCTGCTCTGAGTTATAAATATTCTAGTGCATGAGCTCAGATGAATAATGCTCATACTACAAATAACTAGAGCTAAGAGACTCCATATTTAAAGATGAAGAATCATGTATTTTGGAATATAAAATGTGTTTTTTATCTTTTGTTTTGTTTAGCAGCTTTCAAATGTGAACAAAACCTTCTATGAAAGAATTGAAATTATAGGGTTGAGGTTTCATTTTTAAACCTAGAAAATCAGGTGCAGATTTCTATCCAGCTTAGCTTTTCAGATAATGTTAAATACTTAAAAAAACTATGAGGGAGAGGGGGACGAGGAGTCCTGTAACTATGAACATGAATGCATATAATGTCAGCAAAACCCTTCTAACTGATTATTCTATTTTCTAGCAACCTCATACATGCTGGGTTTTCTTTTGTCTTCTATGCAACTCCACCACTAAGAAACTTTTCTGATTGCACAGTTCAAATCCACACAGAGAATCTGAGATTTTATTGTTCCTCTTTTATGAGGCTGTGGTTAGTAATGACTTAAGTAATGTTTCATAATCCATTTGTAGCCTGGTATCTCCTTGAAAAAGACAGACAAGTTTGACTCTTTCTTTTACAAGATAACTCCTCAATAAGTGTCTTCTTGGCAGAAATGTACTGATTTAAATGCAAGAATAAGGAATCAAATAAACATAGGAAGGATTGGTTTTGAATAACAACACTTGTGATACACTGCAGACTCCTTTTTGTTTTGAAAGTGCTGAAGTGAAAAGATAGATTTTAGGTTTTTTCTCCCATAGAATAATTCTGAGAAGCAATGCTAAGGAAATTATGAGATGTATCAGCAATAAGTGTCTCTGGCATATCGAGGGATTTATTCATTAGGGACAGCATGACACAGAAATTCACAAACTGATAGGATTATTGGTGGAGATCTTGCCCATGGGCATGCACAGGACTGTCTCGTTACTGCAACTATTTAGCAGGGAGCCTTTCTCACCCGCCTTTTAAATTTTTTCCTGCCAAAATGCTGCAGGCCAAAACCAGTCATTTTGCATTTGGCTGCTACCTGTTACCATTCCTTTCTTTTCCAGCTAGTAAGCACCTTAACCCCTGTGATGCCTGCTCTCTTTTTTTTTCCTTTGGTGTTCACATTAAAATAGAACGTTTAAAACCTCTGCACTTTTGAATGGGGACAGTGACTGCTGAAAAGCAAAAACTTTAACAACTTTAAATAGGCTACAATGTAATATATGCACTTAACAAGATGCTTATCCCTAGTTTTGCAGTTCCTCATGCAAATTCAAATGCCTTCAAAGGTGTCCTTTTCCTAGGAATCGACATTGCCCAGCCACTAGCTCCAAAACATGATAGATAGCTCCAGTAGGCATGCTGCACATCAGTGCTTCAGCAAAGCAAGAGGATCAGTGCTTTTAAAAGGGAGGCCCACTGCAGGAGTAGGTCTGGCTCTTCAGTATAAAGCAGTAATAAAAATATCAAACAAGTTCTATCAGGAGAAGGCTGGATCATGTTAATTATGAGCCTACACAAACACTTAAGACTATGCATGACTGTCAATACACAATGGACTGTCCACATCTTCAGCACAAGGCTTGGACACAGACCAAGCATAGAAACTCACTTGTGTTTCCAGCTTGTGCAATAAGTTATTTCTTCATTTTAAGTCAACATAAACTGTCTCCAGCCCTTCTTAGGTTTGTCACCCCCCTAAATGACTTTCCTCACTCTACAAGCATTCCCCTATAATACTATGGGGATGGTCATTGTAATGGCTTGGAAAGAAATCCCCACAACTCCTAAGACACCTCCATTTGAAGTGCTGTGGGCAAGCAATACACTCACTACCAGGGCATCCTACTGCTGGCAGCCTTATTTGTCATCTGAAAGACCTGCTCCAGAGCTGCAGCCCAGCTCACTGTCCATACTATGTCCCTGCAAAAACATAGCTTTTGTTGTCTGAGAGAGAACAGGTAGGCGTGCAGTTTAGATCCAGATTTTGCTTCACAGCACTCTTGTTACATACTACAGAGAGTACATTTGCAACAGTAAATCTCTTTCTGGTTGTATTCAACCTGCACATCATGTACTTGTCAATTTAAGAAGTAGTATTTTCCAGTTCATTTAGGTAAGCACCAAGAGTGTGTTACACCAAGTTACAGATAACGTCTGTTCATGAATATGCATGAAACTTTTCACATCATGGATTAAAGCCAAAGCTCCTTTTCTGTTTGAATGTATCAGCACTTTGTTCCTGTTACCACCTAAACCACCAGGCTCCAGTTTTGACAGTTTTATCACTAAGAACTCCTCAGCACCTCTGGCTGTGATGCGTTTTGTGCTTTCCACCATCATGTACAGTAACTGTGTCTCCATTAACAAATGCCTTCAGCTCCTCACTCTCTTTATTAAGATCTGGCTCCCACAAATACTTGGCATCTTGACAGCCTTCTGGCAATTGATGATTCAAACAGCCACATCAGACACAAACTTCCTCACACTATCCTCTATTCTCAGAGGCTTTGCATCACCTCTCTGCATGCCAGCTCCCCCACCATCATGCTTTCTCCCTGCCTCCATGCCATCCCAGCTCCTCACCCACTTGTTTTGGTTGAACAAGACCCTATCATCCTTTACTGTATATCTAGCAGTTATATCCAAAGCTGCTCAGAGCCTCTACTCATTGCCTGTTGTCCCCCAGTTCTATCATTGAGGACATTTGTGCAACAGTGGTATAGCCCCTACCCTTAGAAAAACTGCTAGACTGAGCCAAATAGACATACAAAAACTCTCTCCAAAACCAGTTCTGTTGGATGCATTACAGCCTAACTACATATCCCAAACTCTGATATTCAAAGCACTTGAAAACTGTATGCTTTTCTCCACAGCATGTCCTTTATGTGTTTGTTCTTCTATATATAACTTTTACTCCCTATTTGATGAAAATGTTTGCTAATTAAAAAAAAAAAAAAACAAACCAAAACCCAAAAAAAAAAAAAAAACAAACCAAAAAAAACAAACAACACCTCCTCCAAGTAGAATAGCAAATCCACTTTTGGATTTCCCCACTTTTTCAGTGGTTTACAGTACTAACCTTATTCACCTCCCAAATATTTTACTTTGTCTATACAGCATGTCTACACAGTCACAGAAAGTTTCCCTATACTTGTGAAAAGATCCTTTCATTCTTTGTCCCTTTTCCTTGAGAGAATACAGTGCCTTGCCCAAGATGGATATTTTGCTGCAATGCTCATTGCTCAAAAGGAATTCTCTAAGCTGGCAGGGCTGCCATCCTTTGCCCAATGCTACACACAGGTATTCCTTCCCCCCGTATGCACCCACTCTGTTATTACATGTGGTGTAATTAAATCTTTCTTCAAAAAAAAAAAAAAACAACAACGAAAAAAAAACAACAGATTTATTAGTGTCTGCAGTCAATTACTTTTTGGCTATACAATATCTATGTTCAAAAAAACCCCTTCTGTATACCATGCACTTGAAAAAACTTTATAAGCATCAAAATGTAAAGCTATAGTTTTTACATCCATATATGTGTGTTTATATGTATATATTTAGATAATTATATATCATTCAACTTTTCTCCACCCCAAAATAACAGTTTATGAAACAGAACAAATAGCATCAATTTAGCAAAACATGATCCAACAGCAAGTCCTCTCAAATGTTTTTTATTCTTAGTGCAGAGAAATAATTTCAGTCTGGAAACTATAAAATCCACTTGTAGTTCAAAGTGTTTTATTAGGTTTCTTTTCACATTCAATAACTTTGAATGTGACTGACCACATTTCATTGGAAGTTTTACATAGGTAGCAATACTTCTACTTGTCTTCTACACTGAAACAGTGACTGTCACCACTGTATCTGCCTTAGTGAGCTTAAGAGAATCATTTAGGTTAAAAAAGACCTTTAAGATCACCAAGTCCAACTGTTAAGTCAGCACCACCAAGTCCATCGCTAAACCACGTCCCTAAGCACCACATTTACATGCCTTGGCAACTCAACCACTTCCCTGGGCAGTTTGTTCCAATGCCTGACAACTCTTTCAGTGAAGAATTTTTTTCTAGTATCCAATCTAAATCTCCCTTGGCACAACTTGAAGCCATTTCCTCTTGTCCTATCACCTGTTACTTGGGAGAAGACACTTGACCCCACCTCTCTCTCAGGAAGAGAGAAAATGTGGTTATATAAAACCCATCATTTTAATATTACCCTAACAACAAGATGGCAATTTAACATGATTTGAACACAAAGATTTCACAGCACTGAGACCAAAATCAACATGGGCCTGCAATATAGGCTTTCCATGCTTTCACTAGCCTTCATGCTGCTTACTGCACATGGCAAGTGGTCCATACAATGCTGAAGAAGTATCTCAGCACTAAATGCTGTGAACCTAGGCTCAGAGTTACACTGCCCCCATGCCCTTCCCTCATTTACATCCAACTGCTAAGAGCTGCCTTTACATCTTCCCATTTTGTTTGCTTGATCCCAGTTACATTTAACACCAAAATTTAAACAATATGTGAACCAATCCAGAACTGAATGCTTACCATTAAGCCAAGAACATACAATTTGAGTAATGAAATATTTTAAAGACAGAATTCAATTTTCATTGTATTTTTATTCTTGCTTCTTAATCAAACCCACATGGAATGCATTGTGCTTAATGAAACTACAAGATTAATATTTCAACAAACCAGCCAGTACATAAACCCACAACTGAGTATAAGTTGAAGAGGTTATTTTAAAATACTTTTGAAAAAAACTTTTATAAGAGAAGCACCCTCCTGCAGACTTGAGCCTGTTTCCTCTTCCAGGAGTGATCCAGAGAGCAGCTCTTCTTTACCACTGAGCTTTGCCTCCACGAATTATTCCATGCTTTTCAGTTCCATTTTGGATTTGACTGGCAGAGAACACATCAGGTTGGAAATCAAAATTGTTGTCATCTATTTATTTCCTTATGATGCTGTCGTCTGAAAATTTCACCTTGGAGAACTTCTGAGCCTTCCCTCCTTCTTTAGGACTCTATTGATTGTTTACTGTGTAAGGGTTTAACACAGCTCCACTTCCATGGCAGTGTTCTATAGTGTCTCCTGATTCTCTCTAAAGAGAGAATTACGGTTTGTTTGCCAACAACAATTGCTTGAGTACTGCAAGTCCTCATTCTTTTAGCTAACATATTTGAACTAACAGATTTATATAAGCCATAAGAATGCAGAATTTGAAGTCTACTTTTATTTTCAAATTAATGCACAACATAAATTTTAGTCCCATGTTATGCTATTATAGTATTTCATGATCATGTTTCAGGTACATGAATATTAAAGATACTTATTAAAGTACCTCAAGAGGCAAAAGCTCCTCTCACACAGTGTAATTACACACAAAGCTCCCAAATTATCTTGGTCAATGTACAGTCCAGCAGCTTAACATCTTGAAAGATGCGTACCAAGTCACGGTCACCTGGACAACAAACTTCACAGCAGAATCTAAATCTTGCTCATTTGGCAACTTCTACAGACTCTTCCACCCTCCACTCTGTTCTCTCCCACTTTTTGCTTCTCTTTCCAGATGTATCTGTATCTCCTTCTTCCTCCTGGTCCCTCAAGCCATACCTGCAGCAGAGTGCAGTATGTTACAAAGCAGCAGCAAAGCAAACACTCCCCAGCATATTTACTCTTCAAGGCGAGGACTACAAGAGTTTAAGAACTAGTGTGAAATGTACCTTTTCTTCAAGGCTTGCTCTACACTATCAGCTTCTTGCCTTAATGGCTGTGTGGGGGATGCAGTGATGCAACTCCCTGAAGACTAAACACAAGCAACCTTGAAGAGGAGTCAGTGCAGTCAAGCAGATATTCCTTATTATTTGAAGCCTTCGTACCTATCTGACACTACTTGGCAGCTCCTTTCATCTTCAACTGCAGCTAATCCTCACCTCATCCCCATTTCTGCCCTGGCAAGGTCCTTCCCTCTGTATGCAAGCGTGGTTTGTCATGCCCTTCCATGACTTCCCCCACCTCAGAACAGCTCCTTTTCCCTGGTGAAGGGGCAAGGAGCAAGTCTCACTGGTACTGCTGCAGTTTGGTTAAAAGTTGCAATCACATTAGGAATATTTCATCAGTCTATTGACATCACAGCACGGGGAAAGCCTTATGCAAAAGAAATCTTTGAGCTTCAGTTGCTACCTCAGCCCAGCCATAACTGAAGAGCAAAACCCAGTACTTGTAAGCAATTAAGAGTCACCAGGAAAGTGATAAATCCTCTGCATTAAACACATATTTAATCCTGTACTTTACTACTTATGAAGGTTAAATCAAGAACATACTTCTGATGGGATTCTTTTTTTTTTAAACCTTTAAGCCTCAACTCCAGTGTCAAAGGTGATCACTATATGCTTTACATTACATTTATTCAGATGAACATTGACCTGTAACCCTTCTCCCCCCCCTCCGCTTTATTAATGTAAGGACATGTGACAATAAGTAGCAATGGAAGAAACTGTGGAATAGGAAAAAGACAGAAGCAAAATAGTTTACTGTGTATAAAATGAGGAAAATAATTACAGAATCACACAATGATTGAGGTTGGAAATGAACTCCAGAGGTCATCTGGTCCAACCCCATGCTCAAGAAGGGCCACCTAGAGCAGGCTGCTCATGATTCTATTCAGACAACTTTTAGGTATCTTCAAGTATGGAGACTTTATAACCTCCCCGTGCAACCTGTGTAAGTGCTCGGTCACCACCACAGTGAAGAAGTGCTTCCTATTATTCAGACAGAGCCTCCCATGCTTCAGTTTGCAGACACTAAAGGATGACAGCTGATTGCTGTACATTTCCACAAACAAAGACCATCCTTTCTCTGCCTCTTGCAAGGAAGCAGCACCTGAAGAAACTGTTATAGTCAGCCACAGCGTGGGGATGTGCTAATGGGAGCTGGGAGTCACTACAGCAAGTGATAGAACTCACTGCAATTGAACTTACTTGACTATATATATAAATTTAGACACATTCAAGTCACCCAGCTGCCGAAATGCAGAGTATTAGATAGCTTCTGCTTGCCTCAGCGGGACTACTTGCCCAAGTGAAATGTGCTACTGCCACTGGTTTCAGTCTCCCATACTACCAATGATATTTTCACAACTAGTGCTACCGCAAGTTACTAGAAAACATATTTAATATTTTACTGTGCAAGTCGGTCAATATTCAGCATTGAGACTTACTTTTAATAAAAAGAGAAATTAATCCTTTTACTACAGTTGAAGAACATTCATAGGAACTCTGCAAGAGATCAAGTGTTGGTGCAAGAATGTGGTTTCCAAAACTTGCAAGGTAAGAGCCACCAGACAGGATAAAAACTGTCATTGCACAAAAAGGCAGCTCAACCTAACTCAGAATAAAGTGGCAATCATTCACCAATAGTCTAACGCTGTTTTTTGATAAGGCTCAGGATTCTGTATGCTCATTTCAGAAAGCTAATATATACATATATATAATTTAGCAAGTAATTACTTTTATGTTGGCTATATGAAGCCAAGTTTCAGCTCCCTCATTCTGCAGCTAATTAGGATGAGTTTTCAGCACACCACCTCTAATATCTTAAATAGAGACTCAACTGCTCTAAGCTATCTTCAATAGTATTAGCATCAGTATTCCAAAAAATAAATCCCGGTTACAGCAGAGATTATTTGCAGAGTACAGTAAGCACAATGGGCACCTGGCTGAGTTCCTACCTTGTCTGCTACACAACGCAAGAAAATAGCCTTATTTGAATGGCATTTGTCAAGATTTTGTAATTTTTACTTCCCTCCCAAAATAAAACAGAAAATAAATTCAGGATTGCTTAGCAGTTCATTTCCAATCCTACAAATCCACTTACTAATAGCTCAGTGTCCTGTTTGTACCAGGACCAGGTTCGCCTCTTCTGGCTCCAGCTACACTGCACAGTGTCATTAACTCACCTCAAATACTGCAACTCTACTTCTTGTGTGTTGGTAACTTGGATATCCTGCAAAACATTTCTATCCTGCTGCCCTAGGATTTTGGGAAAAGACCATCACTACCACCAGAAGCAAAACAAGTCTCCAAAGCTGCTGCTCTGGGTGGGCTTTCAGGGCACTTTATGTGGTTCCAGAGAAGTCTCCTGAATATAACTGCCCAAGCAGCAGACAAAAATAAATATTCCAGGGGTTTTGGTAGTCAGCTCATGACTTCCAATACTTTATTTGTATTTCCTGGGACTCTACGGTCTATTTATAAATTGTTTGTCACACAGTTGCTAGAAGTCAGTAAGTCTACCTCTGTTTCTAGTTAAACAGAGCAAGTCAGTTCCATGAAAACACACATGAAAGGCTTGTCCTTGTCATCTTTTTTAAGAGCATTTTTTGGTAAAAGAGTTATATTTTTTGCTTAAAACTTCAGTTCAAAATCCAATCTCTGGAAGCTAAAGTAAGCACATTCCTCAGCTCTATCAGGTCCAGCGGCATTCTGAGACTAACCAGCTACAGGCTGTGCAGTTTGCCTTTAGTCTATATTCCCTGTGCTCCTAGTTATTCTCCCAGCACCAAGAAAAAATAAAAAATAAAAAGCACCAACACTTTAACTTACACACTGGCCCATCATCACTCCCAGCAGGGCCAGATATACCTAGATCTTGGCAATTAAGGAGATCCCAACCCAAAAGAAACAAAAAGGCATGGGATAACACCATTTATATTTTAAAATTCCAAAATAACTCTTTTAAAATACTGAATGAAAACTTCAGCACCTCTGTCCAGATTCCAAGCATGTACATACAACTAAATCAATACAAGCAGGGAGTCTGGGCCATGCTCAGATCCCTTCAGCTTCAATCTTCAGAGTACTTTACAGCAAACTCCTTTACTCTTCCCCAGTTTGCAGAACAAAAAAATAGGTTGGTATAATTTCCTCTGCCTCTGCCCCTTCAAATAACAGACTTGTACTATTTTGGAAATTCTTGTAATTTACTCAGCATGCTCATTTGCCACTTTTCCAATGAGGAAAGGACTGTAATTGGAATAGACACTCTGAAGTGTCAAAAAGCACTAAAAAATAAAGCAGCAGTTTAGAGTACATCTCCACTGATGCACTGGAAGGGAAGCAGACAATGCCAATGAGTCATTGGAAAATAACGTGTATAAATGCATTTATAGTTTGGCATTCAGACTCTATATTAAATAGCATGACCAGTTCTTTTTCTGTTTCCAATTCCTGCGTCACCTTAATCAAAAACTACTGTTAATAGGTTAACCAAAACTTTATCTCCCATTCAAGGCCCCAAGCACACTTCAAGCTTGCCTCATAAGTCTTACACTGCAAAGAAATGAGAAAGTTGAAATACCAGGGTACTATCAGATCCCATACACTTCAGTGCAAGAATAAAGCACTAAATCGGAAGTGTTAAGATCTTTTTTACTCTTATCTGAAGTCCACATGATTTCCTGCACCAAAGCAGAAGTGTCACCAAAAGGTCACTATTCAAGTATTACTTGTAGGACAGGAGGTACAACATGCTGCAGACGTGTGGCAAGTACAAGCGTGGGCTACCAAGAGGTCGAGCAATATTCACTCGCCTTGCCTTTACAACTGGTCAGTCTGACTACCAGGAAACTAAAGCAGGCAGAGTATCAGTTCCAGCTGTAACGTTTTAAAGAGAAGGCAGATGAACTCTTCATTCCCACCACAGCCGGATTCAGGTTTGCCATCTGCCATTACACCCAATACACAGCAAGTGACTTCAGTATTGTGTCCCCCTAGTCTGGGCTGAATTTATACTGCAACAAGCTAAGATGTTACAAACATGTTACACTTACCCAGAAAGTATAAGCATACACTCCAGTCTGTTTGCTTCCAGAACTGTAGAGTTTTAACCATCAAATCTGAGTGTCTAAAAGCCTTTTTAAGTTCTACTGCACCCCAACACACACACTCCAAAAGGCTATTTAGTACAAAAATTGGAAACTGCAATTTGCATTACATATCCTGCTAGGCAGGAACCACCCCTAAATTAAATACAGTGGGAGTTTAGCCCTGACAGTACAAGGTGTTTCCCTATAACTGCACTGATTAAACAGTTTGCAGACACCAGACCTCCAAGTCCTTTTTAGCAGACGTCACACTGCACAACATAAAGCTGCAGGCAATTGGCCAAAAATGGTTAGCAAAAAGGATTCCTTAAACCTCCAGCATCCAAATATAGCCCTAGCTGGTCACATGGGCTGCCATACAGTAAGTGCTCCTCACTTTACCTACCCTTTGATTAAACGGTTTGAGCTAAAAAACATGTACTTAGAATAGCATTTCAGTTTCCAGCCCAGTTCCATGAACCGTATAATCTTGCTGTACCTTCCACATTCAGTCTGGCAGAAAGGAAAAGTTCATTTAGGTTTCTAGTGAGCTCAAAGGGGATCATTAGCTACAAAAAGCTAACAGAATATGAGACCTCTAATATATATGCATACACACACATATGTATACGTATATATATATATATATATATAAATATAAAAGCAGCATATCTGCCATACAATGCAGCTGTTGTAAAGACTTCCTTGCTAACATACTCTATAGCACATACTGGTTTTCAATTTAAAAAAAATTGCCATACCTTACTCCATCTGATCCTCTAGCAATATGTTTTTTCATATTACTCTCATTATGATGAAAGATGATCAGCTGATTATATTCACCTCACAAGAACTCCACAGCTTAGTTTATACATCAAGAAACTCTGCAAAATTTCTTAAGAAGGGCAGGCCAGCTCCTGTAATTCTGCCAGATGTTAACTTAAACTGAAAAAAGTTGCGTTTGGCCCTTTCTTTCTCAGCCCTTAAGCACTGTCCCATGTTAAGTATTGTGCAGGTGTCAGACAAGGTTACATTATAAAGCCTTGCAACTGCACTAATAAATACAGGTGCCATTTATCCTTCCAAAGCCTCCTAACCGCAGCAGTGAGGATGAAGCCTTGCAGTACCCACTCACAACAAACTTTGTGATCTTTGAATATGCAGAGGCTTGAAGTTGTAGCCACTATTCAACTAAAGTTGGAAGTCTGAGGTTCCTAAAGAGGAAAACAGCCCAGTGCCACAAGGCAAGGCCTAAACACTGAATAAGCACACTGACTGCATTGTGTTACATCAGGGCTCTATGGCTCAGATTTTTGCTAGGAGTATGAAGTCTTACCACATTCCCGTCCCTAGGTAGGCTACTATATTGTGTTACACACTTAAAACAATGCAGAGTTAGGCGCAGCGTCAAGCACATTTACGTACCCACCAGCGACTCAGCTACACCAAGCACCAGTTAGTTTCACATTTATGCCGACAGCCAGGCCGCCCTGACTGCACTGAAATAACCCTCGGTACCCAGATGTTGCGCTATATTTACCGTGGAAAATAAAAAAAAAAAAAAAGACACCCCAACAAAACTTCAGAGCGGGAGGCCACGACAGCACAGACTTTATTCCGAGGCTGCAGCGCAGGTTCCAGCGCTCGGCAGCGCCCGGGCTCGCCATCCCCGCAGTGACGTGTCCACCTGAGGCGCCGGGGCCGCCGCCGCCGCCGGAGACAAAGTTCTGTAGTGCACTGACTGCTATCGTACCCAGAGTCGGAGTGTCACAGAACTTTGCTTCCGGAGGCTCTAGTCCTCCGCCGGTACCGGCGCCGAGGCCGCCCGCCAGCACAAGTTTCCCTGCCTGGGAAGGGAAGGCGCGCACGGTTAGAGATGGGGAAGGGAGCCCCCTCCTCCTCCCCCGCGGCTCGGCGGGAGACCCGCTGGCCAGGGAAGGGGGGTAAGAAGCCGAAAAGACTTTTTTTTTTTTTTTCTTAAAGGAATATCCAAAAAAGCAACCCCTCCACCCCCCGCCACCCGGAGCTAACGGGCCGCCCTGCGTAAGCCGCGGCCGAGCAGCTGCCCGGAGCTCTGCCGGTGCAGCCAGCGGGGGCTGCCGGCTGCCGCTGACAGCCTCGGCGCCGCGGCCCTGCGGCGCCTCCGGACAGCGCTGGGCATCACCCCGCGGCCCCGCAGGCCCCCGCGGGGGGGACCCGAGCGGCGCCCCCCCGCCCCGCCAACCCTTCCCCTGAAGACGAGCGCAACAGGTCCGGCGCCGCCCGCAGCCCCTGCGGCGGCGGGGGCCCCGTCCGGTGCGGCGCGGCCGCGTCCCGCGGGGCGGCGGTGCCGGTGCTGGCCGGTGTCGCTCGCTCGCCCGCCCGCGCCGCGCGCCCGCCGCTCCATCTTGACTTTTGCCGACGTGGAAATTTTGGGTTCGGGGACGAGCCGCGCTCTTATTGGCCGGCGGCGGGCGGGGTCGGAGGTCACGGCTGCTGTCGCCGCTCCGCGCCAAAGCCGCCTCGCAGGCGGCCCCGCCCCGCCGCCCGCCCTGCTCCGCCCACCTGGGGGCGGGGCCGCCAGCGGGGGCCCGCAGGCTGTGCCAGGGCGAGGGGCGGTGCGCAGGGCAGGGGGAGGTGGCCGCGGTTCCCCGGTGGATCTGTGCACGCCGGCTCGGCTCGGGCGGCCGCGGGACGGAGCTGGGGGTGCGGGGCAGGCTGGCGGGAGGTGCCCGCGGGCCCGCTGGGGGTGGTCCTGCCCAGCCCCGTCCTCGGCGGTACCCGTCCGCCCCCCGCAGTCCCCGCGGGGCAGTGGCTCAGTGTGAGGTGGCGGAGGTGCTGCCCCTGGCGCTGACTGCTGCCGTGCTCTGCTCCACGGCCACTTCGGGTGTCCTGGCTCCCCCCCAAGACAGCAGCCGGGGCTGCGGTGTGGGGGGTGAAAGCAGGAGAACTCTCGGCTGTCTCCAGTTGCCGCTTCAAATTTGAAGGACCTGGGAAAGAATATAATAGCTTTTACTGAAGAATGTGTTCCCTCTCCCCAAAAGAAAAGCTGAGAGGCATTTGCTGTCTGAAAACAATGTTTTCTGCTCCCCTCTTGAGAAGGTGTCAGGACTTCGCTAGTGCCGTGTGGAACTCATAGTACGCTGATAGTGCACAGTTTTCTAAATAAAGATTTGAAAATAATTCCTGCAAATGTTTTTCTCTCTTACATAGAATTAAAGCCTAGAACTTAAAGCACTCTTACTGTTCAGCATGTTCACTAGGCTAACGCCGCTCACAGTTTGAAGGACTGATCACAGTTTGAAGGACTGATCCAGGGCTACTCCAGTCATGGAGGCCTCAACCGTAAGAGTTCCAGGAGAACCGTTCACCAATACAAGGGCTGTGTACATGAAGGTGTTCATGGGAGGAGATGTGTGGGCCCTGTCCTGCAACAGTATTGCTGTGCTAGTGAACTCCAGCATTTAGGTGGTCCTTGTTGCAGGATCACAGCGATACCTGTTAACTGAAACCTGACTGCCATTTCGGTATCTGAAAGGGAAATAAACTGAAAAATGTCTGAAATTAGATTTTGTCTCTTCTTCTTTAGCTCCTTTGTCTGCAAAACAAATGGCAAGTCTTTCCCAAGCCTTTTTGTTATGTTTATGAAGACTGTTCCTCCCTCCCTGTCTGCACCTTCACCTTGCTCTTCAGTCATCAACACTATTCCGTCTTGCTGTGGTTTTCCATGTGTAGTAGTATTTCTTATCTTCCTGTTCCCCCTCTATTGCTACTCCCTCCACATACTGTCTCTCTGCTAGGTCACAGAGTAGGCCCCAGCTATGCCACTGCCACTCGGCTGTGTGTACAGGAATATTGATTTTACAGTGTGTATGCTCCGTAAAAAAAAAATCAATATTTCAGTAGATTGAGCAGAGCACACAGCAGTGTAATGGAGCCCAGCCTGCTAATGTAATGTGCAGGGGTCCTCATTCAGAGATTGAGGTCAGTCAGAAAATGGAAATATGTTTTCTTATTTTATCGTCTGCTTCAGATAAAATGTAGGTATTTATGTTCTAGTGTTTAACTTACAGCAGGGCATGCGGTTACTTTTAAGTCATATCCAACAGAAGGTCACATATTGCAGGTGATGTACACAAAAAAACATGCAACAGATGTATAATCAATTTTTTTAAAGTTTAATAAACCCCCACTTCCTCTTACCCATCATATATCTATCAAACAACAGTTGTGAGGAAAAATGCATAATTTTTGTTTCTGCAAATAGAAATAATGTTCCTATGTTTGGTGCAAACTTGCCTTCTGATTATGTAATGAAACATGCAGTGCTTTAATGAACTCCAATATCGTGGCATGTACCAAAGAATACCCCAAAATGAGTTTAAGTGAAAAGAACAAGGGAGGAGAAATAACCAATGCATGACATAAAACCAGAGTAAAAACTCCCATTGATTTTAGTGGACCTGGGATTTCAGCCAGAATATTCTGCATGATATGTTTTCCGCTTTTTAAACCGTTGCATCATGCCTTAAAATGTAGCAAAAGTACTTGGTGCAATGACATGAGAAACCACTGCATTCTCAGGCTCAGAGTCAAGACTAGTGTAAGCTAACTATTGTTTTGCAGCTCTGGGGAGGCTTGATACGGTTTTATCTTTACTTAATAATTTTATCCGCTGGCTTTGTCGGAGGCTATTTCTCATCCACCAGAATCTCTCACTGCAGCAGTGAGTACAGATCCATACAACACGCAGCGGAGTGTTATGTTTTTGAACGTTATGATGCTTTGTGTTGAATAACATACATTTCAAGATGCTATGGGGGCCCTCATGTTCAGCAAAAAGGCAAAGCTATTTATTCTTTCATCATTCACATTATTAATTGAAGAATGATTTGGCATTTGTGGCTGGGGAGGCATGCAGGGCTGGAATGGTAACATCTTCTTTCAGTTACAACTTGGGTTTAGGGCATGACTCATGGAGAAAGCTTCCAAATTTAAAATACTTCTACCTACAAATGCACACTACAATGGGATTTTTCAAAAGTCAGTTGATTTTCTTTGGTCACTGACCACTGATTTCTGATATATGTTTCACTGCTTTGAAGAAGTGTTTGTTTTAGTATTACCAGTTGCTGGAAACCTATGATTTATGACTCTTAAAAATGTACCTTAAGACATACAATATGTCCTAAAATATTTCATCTACAGTTTAAAAAATAGTACTGTAATAAAATAAAATGTAAAATATATGAAAACCACTATGATATAATATTTTACTTAATTCTACAATGCTTTTCGCAGTTTAATTGGGATAAACTTCAGTAAGAGTATTATTGCAATTTACATTATAAGGTAAAACTCATAAATTAAGATTAAGGAATAATAATTAGTGTTGCATTTTACTATAAGAGTTCATCTGTTTTGCCAGCATGGTTCCAACAAAGAATATTCAAGGATGTGGTTACTATGAGAGACAGGCAAAAGCACATGATAGAGAGGACAAGGCTGTGACTTTTTGTGAAGTAAGGCTGAACAATATTTGACAGATAGTAGCCTTAACTTAAAAGCTGGGAATAGTTTTGTTACAGTATTTACTTTTATGAACAGAAGACTGTTTTGCAGATGTCCTCCTCTTCCAGCCTTGTGAAATAGTAAACGGGGGGGGGGGGAGGCTTGTGTTTTTATTTTGGTTTGGTTTGTTGTTGATGGTTTGTGGTTTTTTTCATTTTGAAGCAATTAGTACATTGTAACAATTAGTATTTAAATCTAGTTGGAAACTGGAGTTATTCAGGATGGAAAATTAATTTTCTCATTAGTTGGAAAACTTTTATGGTATTTGTGCAAAAAGTACTCAGCCAAAGGCATCAATCAATATTATAGAATGTTTTAAAACAAATGTAAACGATTTATATTATGAAATTTTGTAGCATTACTTATTGATAAAAGAAAAATGATACATAGAAACTCAGTGGCATATCATTCTAATTCCTAGTTGTTATTGTCAGAGATTGCTTGTTTAAATATGATTTGTGTTATATTTGTGTAATTCTAGTCTTCATTACTATAATAAATGAGCATTAAAACTGCATTATAAGGTCATAATTGTGAAATTGCCATTGAGTAAATTAGGATTATGAGCACTGTAATGCAATATTATGCTGAATGTTATATTTCCTAGTGCCTAAATTTCCTTGCATCTTAAAATCATAAAATTAATAACTAAAGTTAATAAATAATGACAGATAGCCTAAGCAAGTCAGTGGTAAGTCAGAGAAGGATTCAGATTTCCTCAATTCCTACACTCTCTAAAAAGTAGACAAAGTTGATACTTCTTTCTGTAATTGTAGAGGTGCGTGACTGATATAATTTTGCTGAAATATGAACATGACAAAATAAGATCAGCTGTCAAATTAAAACTTTAGGATGCAAGGACATAATGAACTTTCATTCAAGTCCAGTGGAAATCTTTCTATTGACTTTAATAATACTTTTATCAGTTTGTAACATGCTGGCTTCAAGTGTATGAATGCCTCCATTAGTTCAGTAACTAAAGCTCATAGCAGCTTATACGAACTTATATTTGTAGGCTTAAACCCCGGATGTCTCCTAAAAAAACTGCAAAGAGTCAGAAGGGCTCCATAGACATTACAGATCCCAAACAGAGTGAATCTGTCACCCTTATTTTAAAGAAGATATCAAGGAATCTGCAAGGCGATCACTGCTGGATTAGTGTAAGACTATCTGCAAAACATTAGTATATTTGAAAACAATAGACATTTTAAAATGTGCTTTTGTTGAGCATTAAAATGAAATTAGGATCTTTCTGAGAAAAATGCCAAACAGGCATAAAAAGACAGAACCCAATTAGAATACTCTTTTTACCCTGTCTGAAGCTGTTCAGCTATGCCTTGCTGACCCAGAAAGAGGCTAACACTGATTCACAGTGGATTTGAACCTCTCTTGCCCATTTCCTCCAGGGAATGCCTGAGCAATGAGTAGCCAT